GTTCAGGCTAAATAAATGCCTATCAATTGCTAGATAAGTGCCTACATGTAGTTTCTTCACCAGGTGGGCCTATACAGAGCCTACTGATAACTTGATTTAAGGTATGTAGGCCTATGTCTATCCATCCGGATAATTGCGAAAGTATATGGGCCTAGGGATATTGCGTGTAAAGTACCGTATATTGTACAGTAATGAAATTGTGATTCAGAACATGCTATGTAACAACACGTACTATAATGGAATAATATTCGAATATTCAATGAATCGTTGTAGAATCACTAGCATAAGGTATTCCAAAGAACTTATGTTTGTGTTAGGGGAACAATTCGTTTTTATTTATTTTCGCTTTTACCATTATTAGGCCTATCTCCTTTTAATACACGATTTATTAATAATATTACAATATATCATATCGGAAGTAATATAAAGGCATTTGCTGTGGGGTTTTTGTTTTCTACATACAGACAATAACAATATATCCTATTCATAAAGATGTTATAAATAAGTTATTATATAATTATTAGGCTTTTACCATTATTAGGCCTATCTCTTTTTAATACAAGATTTATTAATAATATTACAATATATCATAGGTCTATCGGAAGTAGTATAAAGGCATTTGCTGTGGGGTTTTTGTTTTCTACATACAGATAATAATATTTATATCATATTCATAAAGATGTCGTTATAAATAAATGATTATATAATAATAATATTAATAGGCCTAATAATAATAATAATAATAATAATAATAATACAGTACTTCCAATACTAAAAATTGTAATGATAACGATGATGACGACGATATTGATGGTGGTGATGATAATGATAATGGCGACGACGACGATGATCTTAATGATAATGATATTGATAACGACAATGGCGATTTATCAATCATCACCATCATTATCAGTAAAAGCACTATTAAATTATTCTTATTCATATTTCATTATTAAATTTAAAGTGTCATGACAATTTACTGTTCTTAATACATCAATGTATAGCAACCTTGTACGTGAACAACCCCCATAAATAACATCTGATAATAACCTCTGCCCTCTGCCTAAGACAAAAATAAATAAATAAAAAAAAAATAATTGAAATTAACTCATTTTGCAGTAATATACAAATTATTAACCTAAGCATGGAATTTATTAAATTAAAAAAATGTGTACCCTGATTTTTGATCTGGATAAATAGGATAAAAATAATAATGGAAGTGTTTTCTATCATTTTTCGCTGTAAAATGAAGGATAAACACTTATTAAATACACTAATTTCTATGTTCAAGTTGATAATTTTAATGTTACTTAAAAATGGGTAAGTTAATTTCAAAAATAATTTATGACTTGTTTTGGTATTTTGCATGGAACAATGAACAGAAAGCCGGACACTCACTACGCCCGACGCGTTTTTATGTAAAACGCAATGACACGACGCGCGCGCAACGGGTCGTTTTTAATGACGATCCGTTCAGACTGCCACCCACAATCAGCAGACATCGTCGCGTCGTCTAGGATCACAGGGAGTGGAGTTGGGGTAGTCGTACGACCATCGTAAGACGCAATGAGTGCCCGACTTAAGTTTACATCCCTCGTGTGGTTATACAACAATGTTTTCAATCCCCCAAAATTTTGAAGCACAAAGTTTTTTTGTTTTTTTTAAAATATATTTCAACTTGAAAATGATTCTTCTTTTGGGGCTATCGTTTATTCTTAATATAATCCGATGTTAGCAATAGTTTTATGGGGTAGGTGAATTTACGCAGTCTATTCCGCATGGTCTTCGACTCCTCTCTCATCTAAACAAATCGATATAATAGCATATTATCCAAGGGCGGATTCAAAGCAAATATGGGGGTCATGCGCCGTACGAAGCACCGAGCCCAGGGTGGAGCTGTGGTATAGTCGACAGTAAGATGTATCGAGTACTGTACACAAATTTCAACATTTACAGGTATCTGCAGCGCTTTCTTATAACAATTTTCCCACTTCTTCCATTCTTTTTTTCTTCTCTCTCTCTCTCTCTCTCTTTATGGGGGGGGGGGATCTATCGACATAGCTCCTGGACTCTCCCCACTGCATGCATTTTTTTTCGTTTTACGAATTGTTTTAAATCTAAACTATGTGGTTGAAATGTAATATTATACAGCGTTTAGTTTCAGTGTAATTATATGCAGTGAACGTGCAGCAAGACGACAGAGCTTAGAGAAATCCAGCGATACAGCTATATGCTTATTATTAAGCCTGTATGATTTTACATTTTTAATATAGCATAATATAATATATTACAATGTAATACAATTGAATAATATATAATAAAATATTATATATATGCTTATATAAATTATATATAGACCTATATATATATATATATAATAGTCAACTGTCAAATGTACATATTAGATCAATCATATATAACATATATAAGTATATATATATTCTAATAAAGATATACCGGTACTGTCTCTTATACACATCTAGATGTGTATAAGAGACAGATCCACTAATGCTACGGGCCCGTAATCAAAAATTCGTGTCTAAGAACATGTCATACAGAGCTGTTCTGTGAGCGGATAATGAGAAACGCTCTGATATGCGACGGGACCGTAATCACAAATTCGCAGTCATCTATGCAATTTATCTTATTACTATGGTAACATACTATCGGAGATGATGCTGAAGTCACGTAAGATGAATTATACTGATGACGTATTCAAAGAGTGCCCGACTTAAGTTTACATCCCTCATGTGGTTATACAACAATGTTTTCAATCCCCCAAAATTTTGAAGCACAAAGTTTTTTTGGTTTTTTTTTAAATATATTTCAATTTGAAAATGATTCTTCTTTTGGGCTATCGTTTATTCTTAATATAATCCGATGTTAGCAATAGTTTCATGGGGTAGGTGAATTTACGCAGTCTATTCCGCATGGTCTTCGACTCCTCTCTCATCTAAACAAATCGATATAATAACATATTATCCAAGGGCGGATTCAAAGAAAATATGGGGGTCATGCGCCTTGCGAAGCACCGAGCCCAGGGTGGAGCTGTGGTATAGTCGACAGTAAGATGTATCGAGTACTGTACACAAATTTCAACATTTACAGGTATCTGCAGCGCTTTCTTATACCAATTTTCCCACTTCTTCCATTCTTTTTTTCTTCTCTCTCTCTCTCTCTTTATGGGGGAGGGGATCTATCGACATAGCTCCTGGACTCTCCCCACTGCATGCATTTTTTTTCGTTTTACGAATTGTTTTAAATCTAAACTATGTGGTTGAAACGTAATATTATACAGCGTTTAGTTTCAGTGTAATTATATGCAGTGAACGTGCAGCAAGACGACAGAGCTTAGAGAAATCCAGCGATACAGCTATATGCTTATTATTAAGCCTGTATGATTTTACATTTTTAATATAGCATAATATAATATATTACAATGTAATACAATTGAATAATATATAATAAAATATTATATATATGCTTATATAAATTATATATATAGACCTATATATATATATAATAGTCAACTGTCAAATGTACATATTAGATAAATCGATATAACGTATATATATTCTAATAAAGATATGCTTTGATAAGATATATATGTAATAATATATATATATATATATATATATATATATATA